CCAGTAGCGGAGTGCGCGCACTTAACCACTAAGCCACGGGGCCGGCCCCAAAGAACTTCTTTTAATATGCTTGCAAGACGGGTCTACTGGCAACAAATTCCCTCAATTTTTGTTTGAGAATGTCTTTATTTCTGTTTCACTTTTAAAGGATAATTTTGCAGAGTACAGAATTCTAGGGTGATTTGTTTTCTCAACACTTTATTTCATTTTAACTCTCTTGTCTGCGTGGTTACTGAGAAGTCAGATGTAAGTTTTATCTTTGCTCCTCTATAGGTAAGGTGTTTTTTTCCCTCTAGATTCTTTCAAGATTTTTACTTTATCTTTGATTTTCTGTAGTTGAAAAATGATATGCTTAGGTGTAGAGTTTTTGGCATCTATCCTCTTGTGTTCTCTGAGCTTCCTGGATCTGTGGTTTGGTATCTGACATTAACTTGGGAGAAATTCTCAGTCATTATTGTTTCAAATATGTCATCTATTCCTTTCTCTCTCTTTTTCCTTCTGGAATTCCCACTACACATCTGTTACATCTTTTTTTTTTTTTTTTTTTGCTGAGGAAGATTCACCCTGAGCTAACATCTGTCCCAATCTTCCTCTACCTTATATGTGAGAAGCCACCACAGCATGGCTGGTGAGTGGAGTATGTCTGCACCTGGGATCCAAACCTGCAAACCCAGGACACTGAAGCAGAGCTCGCAGAACTTTAACCACTCGGCCACAGGGCTGGGCCCTGTTACATCTTTTGTAGCTGTGCCACATTTCTCAATATTCTGTTTTTTGTTCAGTCTTTTTTCTCTTTGCTTTTCCGTTTTGGTGATTTCTATTGAGATATCCTCAAGTTCAGCGATTCTTTCCTCAGCTGTGTCCAGTATACTAAGAAGCCTATCAAAGGCATTCTTCATTTCTATTATAGTGTTTTTGATCTCTAGCATTTCCTTTTTGTTCTTTTTAGAATATCTGCTTACATCGCCCATCTACTCTTGCATGATATGTACTTGGTCTATTAGAGCCCTTAGCATATTAATCATAGTTTTAAATTCCCAGTTTGATATTCTGATATCCCTGCCATATCTGAGTCTGGTTCTGATGCTTTCTCTGTCTCTTCAAACTGTGTTTTTCACTTTTTAGTATGTCTTATAATTTTTTTGATAGCTGGACATGATGTATTGGTAAAAGGAACTACTGTAAGTAGGCCTTTAGCAATATGGTGGTAAGGTGTGGGGACAGGGGAAGGGTTCTATAGACCTATGAGGACTCAGTCTTTCAGTGAACCTGTTCCTCTGGACTGTCAACTTCACATGTGCTTCTGTTTTTTGCCCCTTCTCTTTAGTGGAACAGAATCACTAGAGTGGGCTGGAGTTGGGTATTTCCCTTTCCCTAGGTCAGTTAGGCTGGTTAAATAGTTTCTCCTAAGGGCAGACATTGTTAAGAACAGTATGCTTTGGCATATTTGAAAATGGTTCCTCCCTAATCCACTGCTGGTGGGATGCAAACTGGTGCAGCCTCTATGGAAAACAGTATGGAGATTCCTCAAAAAATTTAAAATAGAATACCTTGTGATCCAGCTATCCCACTACTGGGAATCTACCCAATGAACCTGAAATCAACAATCCAAAGAGGCTCACACACCCCTATGTTCATCGCAGCATTATTCACTATAGCCAAGAAGTGGAAGCAACCCAAGTGTCCCTCAACTGATGATTGGATAAAGAAGATGTGGTGTATATATACCATGAAATACTACTCAGCCATAAAAAAAAAGACTAAATCGTCCCATTTGCAACAACATGGATGGACCTGGAGGGTATTATGTTAAGTGAAATAAGCCAGAAAGAGAAAGACAAACAGTGTATGATTTCACTCATATGTGGAAGATAAACCAACACACGGACAGATAGAACTGTTTGGTGGTTACCAAGGTCTAGGGGGGTGGGGGTGGGCACAAGAGGTGGAGGGATGCACTTATATGGTGACTGATAATAATGTACAACAAAAATTTCACAATAAAAAAAAAAGAAAGATGCTTTGTAAACACACACACACGCAAAAATAAAATGGTTCCTTTTTCCCTCCCCATGCTAGGAGCACAAAGGAATTTTTCTCCAATATTCACTGTGAGAACCTGGTCTAACTCTTGGAGGTACAATTCACAAAAGTGTGGGGGCCCCCAATGACTCAGACCCCATGGGGTTTTAAATTCTCAGAGATGTCCACATTGAGCCTCTAGCAATTCATCAATCATAGTTCAGGTTTTCCATCAATCATAGTTCAGGTTTTCCGATGCCAGCACTGGTTCTCCCAGGTTTGTGCTCGTGGGTTTCTGCTCTGGTAAGTTGTGATTCTCTGTATTCACTTGTCTCTCTCTCTAACTCTGGGGCCAGCAGTCTGCCCTGTGACCTCACTTCTCTGATGGGTCTTAGAATTGTTGAGTTTTCAGTTTCCATTTTTATTTGTTAGGATAGAGTGATGACTTCCAGCTTCTTACGTGCCAGACCAGAAACCAGAAGTCTCTGATAATATTTTATTGAATGCCAGGCATTGTCAATTTTACCTTGCTGGGTGCTGAATATGTTAAAAATACTCGAGTGTTGTTCTGGGATGCAGTTACTTGTAAACAGTTTGATCTTTTCAGGTCTTGCTTTTAAGCTTTGTTAGGTGGGGTGAGAGCCTTATTTAGGCTAATTTTGCTCCACTACTGAGCCAAAACCCTTCTAAGTACTCTATCCATGCCCCATGAATTATGAGATTTTCTACTCTGGCTGGGAACTGTTAGGCTCCAGGGATTGTTCAGATGGCTCTTTTCACTGCCCCAGGGGTTTTCTAACACACCTGTGATCAGTAGTCAGCTGAAGCCTCCAGGAAGACTCTGCAGATCTCTGGAGCTTTCTCTGTACATGCCCCCCTTTCTGCTACTCTGCTCTGCAAACTCCAGTCCCCTTGGTCTCCCTGGACTCCCAGTTCTGTGTCCTCAACTCAGAGAGACTGCTGGACTCCATCTGGATTCCCCCTCCCTACACCGTGACACGGAAACTCTCTCCAGGAGGTATACTGGGGCAATCACAGAGCTCACCTCATTTGTTTCCCAGAACAATTTATGCATCAAAGTGTGGCAGACAGAATAATGGCCCCCTAAAATGCCCACGTCCTAATCCCCAGAATCTGTGAATATTACCTTATATGTGAAAGAGATTTTGCAGATGAGATTAAGTTAAGGATCTTTAGATAGGAAGATTATCCTGGATTTTCTGGGCGGGCCCAATCTAATTACAAAGGATCTTTTAAGAGGGAGACAGGAGTGTAAGAGTCAGAGGAGATATGACAGAAGCAGAGGTCAGAGAAAGATATTGATTGATTGATGATATTGATTGCTGGCGTTGAATATGTGGGAAGGGGCCTCAAGTCAAAAACGCAGGCAACCTCTCGAAGTTGGAAAAGACAAGGAAATGGATTCTCCCCTGGAGGCTCCAGAAGGAATGCAGCCCTACCAACATTTTTATTTTATCCCCCAAGACTTAATCTTGGAATCTGACCTCCAGAACTAAAAGATAATAAATTTATGTTGTTTTAAGCCACTAAGCTTGTGGTAATTCGTTAGAGCTGCAGTAGGAAACTAAAACAATCACAAATTGGGAGCATGGAATATGAATAGGAAATGAGAGCTTGTTAAGACACGATAGCGAGGGGCTGGCCCAGTGGCACAAGCGGTTAAGTGCGCGTGCTCCGCTGCGGCAGCCCAGAGTTCGCCAGTTCAGATCCCGGGCACGCACTGACGCACCGCTTGTCAAGCCATGCTGTGGCGGCGTCCCATATAAAGTGGAGGAAGATGGGCATGGATGTTAGCCCATGGCCAGTCTTCCTCAGCAAAAAGAGGAGGATTGGCAGATGTTAGCTCAGGGCCGATCTTCCACACACACACACACACACACACACATGATAGTGAAAGAAATCTTATTTTGGATCTGAGAAAACTAGAACCTCTACTACCCTAACATTCTCATTAATGTTATGCAAGTATGGCTACATTAAACTCAGATACAAAATACCAGTACCCCCAACCCCCCCAAAAGAAAAACAAAAGAAAAATGGGTGGACTTTCAAACATTTCTATCACAGCCTTAACAAATAATTCTCCATGATACATCTTAACAATATGATCCTTTTGAGTAGAACATCATTATTTGTAAGTAAAAGCCACCCACTGCATTCAGTGTCAGAAGTAGTATTTAGTATGACAGCTACATAGAGACTGGTTCCAAGATTAGCTTGTACGTAATCCTAGTAAGTTACTAAGGCAAATCAATGGTGGAGAAATTCATATGTGAAGTTCTAGTCTTACAAAATATTTCATAGTTGAAAAATAAGATTTTATTTCACTAAATTCCAAACATTTCTTATTAACATGTAAGAAGCTAAAACATATATTCTCTTCAGAATTTATGACTTCATTTTCCTCTTCAGTTTAAGGTTTAACTTACCTCATAGTCTAGATCAGTTTCTTTTACAAGTTTACAAATCTCAACAATCTTCCACTCCTTTATACTTTTCTACATTTTTCAAGTTTTCTAAAATGCATACTGTATCAATTAGGATTAACTGTGGCTATTACAGAGTGACTTAAACAAGAGAAACTATTTCTGTCTCATGTAAAAGGTCAGAGGTAGGTGGCTGCAATGCCTTCTCTGCCTGAACAGCAGCAGTAGTCACAGGTTTGGAATGACACTCACTCACAGGACCCAACACACCTTGTGGGACCCAACTTGCACTAAGCCCACTTGACTTCATAGGAAAAAGCAGAGCAGCAGGATTCTTGTTTCAGCAGGAGTCTTTACTCCAGCCTCCCAAGTGTCAGCTCAGGTATAAAGGAACAAGATCATGTGGGTGGGTGCAGAAGCCACGCTGGCTTAGAACCTTCATGGTTCTAAGGGTGGCTTCCAGGAATCTTTGCAAAAAGAAACACAGTACTTAAGGAAGCCCAAAGCCCATGTTTTCCAATGGACATCTACAGCACTTGTCACAGTCGTCCTGGTCCAGCTACAGTTTACCAATAAGGGGTAATTTTAAATCATAAACAATATTGCCTGGTGTCACAGCTGACGTTCTATTATTACCTTGTCTAGTAGGTTTCCAGAGAAAACAGTGCTGAAAAGTAAACTCGTGGTCATTCTACTAGGGAGAAAGAGAAAGAGTTTTATTAACCCTCTATTCATAGCAGTCTAGGGCAGCATCATAGTATCAGGATCCAATCTTCTATCTTATTGCTCTGCCACTCATGGCTTCTATTTCCAAGGTTACTTTATAGTCCAACAAGTCTGGTGGAGCTCTAGCCACCACAGCCATGTTCCAGCAGGAGAAAAGAGAAGATGAGCTGGCCCATTTCCTGTTACACCTTAAAGTTCAAGGAAACTTCCCAGAACCATCCAACTCTCAACATTTCTAATTCCATGTCACTGCCCAGAACTTAGTCATATGGCCATGTATACATGTAAGGAAAGCTGGGCACATTGATAACCTGAATAAATTCTGGGATTCTGTTACAAAGCAAAAAAAGGAAGATTAGATATTGGGACAGATAATTACCAGTCTCTCCTACACATACATATGGTGGGGAAAATAAGCTTTTTATTAACAAAAGCTGAGGCTAAAAAAGCCATATAAAAATTGGGAAGATATATGTGCTTATGATTTTGGAATGTTTCAATCAAGGTAAGTTGTTTGTTTTGTAAAAAGTTATAAAACTTATTGAAGAAAAAAATTCCTCATCCTAGAACATTACTTCTCTGTCACAACAAACATATCTCCAACAGTTATAAGATATAATTAATGTGAGGTGTTTTAACATATTAGTACCAGGTTAAACCATATGAAATTGCTGCTTTTTATAGTTAGAAACAATAAAATACTGACAATTTCATATAGTTCAACCTGTAACAAAGTATTAAAGTTTGTGAATAATTTACTTAAAAAATACAAATTAGAGCAGATCTAGCTTATCACCATAACAGAATGACTGTTACAGGTGAATTCCAGTAATCTTTCTCAAGTGGGAAAGGAATGGAATTACAGCTGGCACACCAGGAACTTGACCTTTATCTTTAAGCACTTGTGAATTCTTTTTCTGTTCCTAGATATAATACTTACTGTGGTAGACTGGAAAATGGCCCCCCAAAGATTTTCAGGCCCTAATCCTCAGTTTTATGCCTGTTTATGTTAAGTTATATGGCAAAACGGATTTTGCAGATGGAATTAGTTATAGACCTTAAAACAGGAAGGTCATCCAGGTGAGCCCAATGTAATCAAACAGACCTTTAAAGGTGGAAGGCAAGAAGGGTCGGTTAGAGATAGGATGATGGAAGAAGCAGCAGGAGAGATTTTAAGCATGAGAGGAACTTGATCTGCCATTGCTGGGGCTTTGAAGAGAAGGGGACCACGAGCCAAGGAATGCAGGCAGCCTCTAGAAGCTGGGAATGGCCCTTAGCTGACGGTAAGGAAATCGGACCTTGATCTTCAATTGCAAGGACTTGAATTCTGCCAACGACTGAATGAACAAGGAAATGTCTCCCTACAACCCCCTCCAGAAAAGAATAAAGCCCCACCAACACCCTGATTTTAGCCCAGGTGAGACCCCTGTCAAACTGCTGACACACAGAACAGTAAGAAAATACATCTGTGTTGTTTTAAGCCACTAAGTTTGTGGTTGGTAATTTATGACGGCTGCCATAGAAAACTTATACACTTACCTTAGTAAAACCTCTAATGTAAAGGACTCATCAGAGAACGGTCCCTATAGTCATTTAAACCATATTTTTAAAAATTCAATTCATACCTGGTCCTTAATGATTCTGTTATACTAAGTTGTAGCTATAATTAGAAATATGTATATAGCCAACAAAAATAATATAATGGTGAACAACTGAAAGCTACATAGCCAATTATTTTATACAAAAACTCTAAAAAGTTCATGACTAGCTACTATGAGAAACATTTCATCTAGGAGTCATTTCTAAGGCAGCATCTTGAGTTTCCATAAAAACAGAAGCTTCTGTCTCAGAAGAAGGGATATCAATAAGAGGACCAGAATCCTCTATTTCCAGGTGCGGTGGTTTCTCCTGTTCATGACTCAGGTTTGAATTATCCTTCATTTGAATCTCCTGCTCTTCCAACTCCAAAGATTTATCTGAGGCTGGAGCTACAACTTCTTCATCTTCATTTTCATGTAGAAAGCTACAAATCATGTTGGGTCTATAGGAGAAATCATTATCCTTGATCTGCAGCCATTCCACACCACCTAACGGGGGAGGGGGTAAGGAGTGGGAGGAAAAACCAAGAAATAAACATGAAGAAGGAATCTTAGTTACTTAAGTATATTTTTCTTTAATTTAAATATTCATCCCATGAATAAATGTCAAAGTAAAACCCAAACATAAACCAAGCAACATGGTGCCTGTAACTACTGATAAATAATTATGTAACTTCCATCTCACATGGAGACCTTGGGATGCTTACAGGGTATGTATCACCCAAATCACTACAAGTAATCAGATTCAGTTACTATTCCAAGTCCTTTTTCCACAGTTCAATTCCCAACTCATTCTGAGTGATAATTTGAGCTCTCACTGCCACCTCATGCTTTACAGTAAAGAAAACTGTCACTTCCCTACAATTTTCTCCTCCACTCAGTTTTCGTAATACAATGGATGATACTGCCCTATCATCTTCCAAGTCAACACTTTTATGTAGTTTTCAGTTGGAACATCCAATTGTGAAATAAGACACCTCTCCAAAAAAAAACTTGAAAAAATTTTTGTTTCTCTCCATACTCATAGTCAAAGCCCCAACCCTTCAATGAACCCCTATAATCAAGAATTGCTCCAATAATGCTAGTCATTTTTTCATTTATTCTTATTACCTTTTCAGCCAAATATTTTCAGTGGATCCTCACTTATTTCTGTAGCAAGCCCAAGCTGTTTACTCTCATTTTCAAAATTACATCAGATATCTCTAAGATATCCCAACATATCTTGCCACCCTGTTCACACATCTGTCTGCTCCTATTCTCCACCACAAATTAACTCTTCTGCAGCTGTTTACTGAAACTTCCTCACCGCTGATCCCATGTCTTCCCATATATTATTCCTATAAAGTCTCCCTCTATCAAAAATTGATTAGTCCTTTTCCCTCCAGTTCAGCTTCAACTACTGACTTTCTTATTTTTTTCCTGCAATAGCATCATTCTCCTAGTCACCCAGATTCAAAACCTTGAAGCCATCCTTTACTGTTATTTAGCGTAATACCTGGCACCTAACAGATACTTAACATAAGTTGAATGAAATAGGTGTGGAGTCACATTCATCCATGTCTGTTTCAATGTGATTTACTTTAGAGTGCAAGTTACCGGACGGTAAGGACCACATCTCCTGTCTACTTTGCCTGCCTCTAGCATACTGCCATGATTGGTAGCCAGCCTCCAAGGTCCCCAATGATCCTCACCTTCATGTCCGTGTCATCCCCTCCCACACTGAATAGGATATTGCAGAAATGACAGAATGTGACTTCTAAGGCTAGTTCATAAGACATGTTGTCGTGGATCACTTGATCTGGGAGTAGCCAGCTGCCATGTCAGGCAGGCACTCAAACGGTACTATGTGGAGGCAAGGAACTGAGGCCTCCTGCTAACGGCCAGCACAAACCTGCCAGCCATTGAGTGAGCCATCTTATGATCTGATCTTCCAGGTTTACCCAGGCCTTCAGATGACTGCAGCCCAACCAACATACTGACTGCAACCTCACGAGAGACCTAGAGCCAGAATGACCTAGTCAAGATGCTCCCAAATACCTGATTCACAGAAACTGTCTAAGATAGTGTTTTTTCTTGTTGTTGTTTTAAACTGTTAAGTTTACAGGTAATTTTTTTTGTGAGGAAGATTAGCCCTGAGCTGACATCTGTTGCCAATCCTCCTGTTTTTGCTGAGGAAGATTGGCCCTGGGCTAACATTCGCGCCCATCTTCCTCTACTTTATGTAGGACCCCTGCCACAGCATAGCTTGATAAGTAGCACATAGGTCCGCACCCGGGATCTGAACCTGCAAACCCTGGGCCACTAAAGTGGAGTGCAAGAACTTAACCACTACCCCATCCGGCGCACCCCATGGGGGGAGTAATTTTTTTTTTGCAGCAATAGATAACTAATACAGCCTTGAACAGTTGGTTACTAACTTATGTGATTAAGCAAAACACTCAAATCTTCCCAAAGATCTATCAGATTAATAAAGACTACAGAAGAGGAAATTCTATAATTTCCTTTAATAAGAGTATCTAAACAATAGTTAAGCTTATCTGATATGCATCTGCCTTTCAAGTTCATTCTAGAACTTCAAGTACCTCCTTCTTCCTGTTATTTTCACAGAATGCCTAACAAAGGGGATAGTTTTGGTATATACATAAGAAGAGATCTGTTATGTAGTTGAATGTGTAGTTGGTGTTATTAATTTCTATACGATTAATGTAGCTTCAAATGTTTATTCCTTAAAATACAATAAAGCTACCAAGCCACAAATATATTCACCACTAAAGTCATATTTACTAGAGTTTCAAATGTGTCTTTGAGCAATGAGTTTTTAAACCATCAAGTGATTCTTTGTTCATCTCAGCAAACATGTGCCTGTTAGGGATGTGAGAAGCACTGGTCTAAAGCCTCTAGTCTGGGATGAGCAGCAACTGGAGAAGGCTAAATGGATGCTAATTAAGAACTAGACTCAGGAGTAACAACCGTGGTTGTAGAGTCTGAGTCCCTCCCTCACGTATGAAGCCAGCTTCTTCCAGCCGTGAGCTCCTGGGGAAGGTTGCTGCAGCTGCCAAAAGTTTCAGGAGATCTCTGGGGTTACACCTTGGGAACCCAGAACTGCTATCATATCTTCACCACTTATAAGGAAGTTTTTATTATAAAAGAGAGAGATAGAGACATAGATACTCACACACTCACTCTCTCACTCACTCACACACACACACACACACACTAGGGGTTGGAAATCATATTAAGTTTCTTGGCAAATTCCTCACAATTATTTCCAATGCAAAGCAGACAGAGATTTCTTATATGTTTCCAGTGCCCTCTGCTATATTAGAATTCAACTGAATTTTAAATTTATGTTTGGTACTTTTCATGGAGCACCTCAATTTTAATATATTTAACATATTACATATAGTTATTACTACAAAGTACAAGGAATGTCCTGGCAGCAATGTGTCATTATCAGAGCCAATATTAAATCATCTATTTTCAGAAAACTAAGTGAACCAACCTATGTTTTCTTCTCCTTCCTTCTTTTCTGTCAGAAGAGTTCGTGTCATGCTGAGCTTCTTCATTGTATGGCATTTATATTTTAGCACCGTCTTATTATTGCCTTCTGCATCCACTAGAACATAAAATCAACTCAATTATTATACTGCTTGATGCCATCAAATAAAAGAATCATGTTAAGCCCCAACAGACTAAACTACTTCCTGTCAAGATGGGGTAGTAAGTTCAAGATTTAACTCATCCCTCCTGCTCCAAGTACAGAGAAATGAGAGAGAAAATACGTAACGACCGAAGGTACAACAGGACTCAAAAACAACACACACCTCCAGGGCACAGAAAGACAAAGCTCTGAGTGAGATTAAACTATGGGCCTCCTAGGCTGTAGCCCTGAAGTAGGAAACTGGGGGCCAAGAATTTGGCCTTACAGGGTAATGAGGTCTAAAATTCTATCACTCAAAATGAAGGACCAAAGGCAGACTACATGAAGCCAGAGACTGGAGTGAGGATATTCCCCATCATGAGAGAAGGCTGAGACATACCGTTGCTAACCTGCTGCCTGGCGTTACAGCTTTATAGAAAACTGCAGACACAGACAGGAGGGACGATAAGGGTCTGAGCTAAGGATGTGAAGCCCACTGAAAACTTCCATACACTGCTACTGTGAGTGTAAGCTGATACTATACTTCAGAAAGCAACATAGTGATATCTATTAAGTTGAACCATATGAAATTGTCAATATTCAGCCAAAATTTCATATGGTTGAACCTAAAAGTTAAGTTGAAGATATACACACTCATCAATCTAGCAATTCCATTTCTAAGTGTATACCTTGAAGATATTTTTACATATATGCAAAGGAGACACATAAAATATTCATGGCAGCATTTTGTAGTGAGTTATAAGCATAATTAAGAACGTGGGATCTGGAGCAAACCCACTGGGTTCAAATCCTGGCTCTGCCATTTACTTCGTGTGTGACCTTGGGAATGTTATTTACCTCTCTGTGCTTCAGTTTCTTCAACTATAAAATGAAGATAATGATAGTGTCTACCTCATAGGCTTGTGGTAAGGATTAAATGAGTTAATACATGTAGCATTTAGAATAGTGCCTGACATATGGAAGGCACTCAATAAATTTTAGTAGTAATTAATAATTACTAATAAAAATGGAAGCAACCAACATGTCCATTAACTGGAGAATAAATTGTGGTATAGTCACAAATGGGATAAGAAGCAACAGGGAAAATAGGGTTATATATATCAACAGCTATAAATCTCAAAACATACCTCTGACTGAAAAAAGATGTAGAATGATATGTACAGTATGCTGTAATTTATATCAACTTTGAATATATATAAAAAATGCTATTTATTGTTTGTGGATACATACATATGTAATATAAAATCAGGTATAGGAAAGAAAAGCACCAAATTCAGAGAGTGATTGCCTCTGAAGACAGAAGGTAAGGAAATAAGTTTGGAGAGGGGTATACGAGGGGCTTCAAATGTATCTGGAATGTTTTTTAATTATCTGGCAAAATGGTAAGATTTGACATAGCTAAACAATAGGTACATGAGATGTTTAATTTTAATATTCAGTGTACATAAGTATGTTAGAAATATTTCATAGTAAAAAGAGTTGTTAGCATATCAATCACTTACCATGTTCAACATTTTCTTCAAATATAACACAAGTCCCAAGAGTGTCTGCAGAAAAAATTGAAGGCAACTTGTTGAAAATAACAGAGGTACTTTCTCTGAAAAGCATATTAAAAAAAAGGAGTTTCATGTACCCGACATCCTCCTACCTTCATACTCTCCAGCAAAGACATAGCTGTCCACCTGCAGAATGGGCCTCTCAGTGTCAATTCCCTACAACACGATATAGGATCATAAAAAATCATCATTAAAAAAAGCGATGGTGGGGAGTAAAATGGGTAAAGCTGGTCAAAAAACACAAACTTCCAATTACAAAATAAATAAGTCCTGGGGATATAACATACAGCATGGTGACTATAGTTAATACTACTGTATTGTATATTTGAAAGTTGCCAAGAGAGTAAATTTTAAAAGTTCTCATCATAAGAAAAAAAATTGTCACTATGTGTGGTGATGGATGTTAACTAGACAAATTATGATCATTTCACAATATTTACAAATATCAAATCATTATGTTCTACACCTGAAACTAATACAATGTTATATGCCAATTAGGTCTCAGTTAAGAAAGAAAGAGCCTTCCACCTGTAACTGGGCTACCAAGGATGCAGATCTCCCAAACTCTAGAGCGTCTTATCCTAGCAAGTACAGGATAAGCTAAAACATCCTCTGATCACAGCAGCCACAACCTGAAGACTGCTTAGTTCATACCCAAGCAGCAAGGTCTATTTCAATCAACATCCGCTTCAAGTTTAAGGTAAGAACAGCAGAAGTTTTGCCAACGATAGCTCAAAGATTTTAAAGTAAAGTGATAGATGGTAAGTTATGATACCATAGCTCAAGTCAACAGCAGTGTGAGGTCTTTGAAGTCTTTTCTTAGTAGGTATCTCCTCTCCCTTCTCCAGTTTAACCTCTGTATGCATATCTGGCTGTCCTCTCTTCACTTTGTGTTTCTCTCTCCCCCCTCGCTTTCTAAAACAATGCATTTTTAAAAAAATATATTGTTCCATATCAAAATGCTACCTCCTCCAAATCTTTAACTTTCTCTCCAGCCGCACATTCAGACACTCAAGCAATGTTTGGCATTTTCTCTCATCTGCTACCATAGTCCCTGTACTTCTATGATGAGCCTTAGAGTTCACAGCTTTGTAACTTGGAATGAATGTATCAATCTTTGGAGATAGGTATTTCACCATTCATTCTTGTTTTAAATTTAAGAAAATCTAGAACAATCCCCCAATTCTGGAAGACTCACCAAAATTTTGCATTTATTTTCACATTTTGAGAGAAAGTCTGAGTCAATAATTCCTGACAATTCCACCAAAACCAACTGCTCCTGGTGGAAGAAAGAGGGGTTACAACGCTAGCCCGCGGGGTGCGTGCAGAAGAGGCAAATAACAAAGGAGCCACGATCCCCAGGGCAATGATCCCACCTCGGGGAAAACCTGCTTTCAATGAGAGCAAGCAGACGACGTTACCTAAGGGAACTGCCCCGACTTCCCCATTCCAACCACCGTGTGGCAATTAGGGCCGAGGCCAGCCGCTCGCCCGCTCCGCGCCCGCGGGGCCTCCCGCCCGCCC